ATGCCACCAAGCCCAGCTAATTGTTCTATTTTTTTTTGAGAGGAAGTCTCGCTGTGTTGCCCAGGCTAGGGTGCAGTGGGACAATCTCGGCTAACTGCAACCTCCGCCTCCCAGGTCCAAGCAATTCTTCTGCCTCAGCCTTCCGAATAACTGGGATTACAGGTAAGCACGACCATACCCAGCAAATTTTTGTGTTTTTAATAGAGACGAGGTTTCACCATGTTGGCCAGGCTGGTCTCAAACTCCTGACCTGAAGTGATCCACCCACCTTTACCTCCCAAAGTGCTGGGATTACAGGCGTAAGCCACCACACCTGCTTTGTAAAAGAATATTTGAGGGAACTACTGAGAGAAGAAGCACATTCATTTCAAAACTCTTATAGGAGAGAAGTCAACATAATGAGCTTCACTGCTCGATGTTAAATTAAAGGAGCTAAAACAATGTGGCAAAGTAAAGGACAATGGCTGCCACTGCTAATACCTAGTGGCAGAGGGATAAAGTAAAATAAGGCTCTCAAAGGACTCATGAGTGCCATATTAGCTTTCTTCCCTCCACTCTCTCTTGATCATGATGGAGAATTAGCTCCAATCATTCAGATATAATAATATTAGAATAAAAACTTCCTCAGTGACTCCATCCTAGAAAATTACCATATGAAAGAAAAATGAGGAAAAAGTGGAAGTAACCAAAGGAAAATACACACAGTTATGAAACAATGATCACTGGAAAAAGCAACTGGTTAACAAGCAGATTGTAAAATTATGTGAACTAGCTTTAGCACACATTAACTTGAACAGTCTGTAGATTCTTCAAATACCTGATTATTCTGATGTTCAAGTCTTGGAGAAAAGCTGGAAATCACTGGGGAGGCTGCAGAGAGTTCTTGGAGTTTGATATCAATTTCAGCAAGTTGTTGATGCTGGCTGACTGCAAGCGCATATCCTTCTCCCGGGACCACCCAGCCAGACTGATCACCCTAAGAGGAAACAAGGGTCACCAGGTCATTCCCTGGCTATATTTTTGCCAAAATATTCAGATGGCTATAACAGTACCCAGGACTACACACACACACACACACACACACACACACATACACACACACGAGAGAGAGAGAGAGAGAGAGAGAGAGTTAACATTGGTAAAAGAATAATATGAAATAGTTCCTGGTTTTATCTGACAACCTGTATAAAGTATCTTCTAACATTTTAAGGGGATTTTTCCCCCTGTGGAACAAATCTCTTAGTTTCACAGTCTGGTTCTCATAACATTCTTATTTATCTACATTGAAAAACTGTTTTGTGACATGTTAAGTAGAAAGAAATCAGGTTTACCCTGTAATGGGACATGGTAGTTTCAAACTTTGTCCCTTAAAAGTAACATGGCATCTATAAAATCAGTTGCTTGGGTTTCACAAACTTAATTGATCATCTTTCATTCAACTAATATTTGTTCCATATTACCTTATAAAACCTATATATTACATTCATTCAAAAATCTCATACTGAATGCCTACTGTACATACGTATGATGTTAGGCACTGGTGATTCAATACGAATATCACATGGTTCTGCCCTCAAGGAGTTCTCTCTTGGCAGCAACAATTTTAAGGTGTGAAGAGAGCTGGTAAGCCCTGGGCACCATGGGAACCACAGAGGATCAACTAACCTTCCTGCCTCTGTGGGCAGGAAGGGGCTGGAGAAAATAGGACCTTAATCAAAGAAACACCATAATCAGGTCTGTATTTTAAAACTGGAACTACGGAGAGGAAGAGCGGAGGTAGAAAGGCAGGTGTATGGCTTCAGCCCAGGAGTTGTTAAGAAGCAATAGCTACAATCTAGAACAAAAGTAATGAATGACTGAACTAAGGAATGTTTTCTGGGAATATGCAACAGAATCCAGAAATACATAGGAAGTATAATTTACAGAACCTGGAGATAATTTTATGAAAGAGTAAAGGGAGGTGTAAAGATCAAAGATATAGAACAAGTTCCTCAAGACAATGAGGCTCATTCTCATCACTCCTATTCAACATAGTACTGGAAATCCTAGTCAGAGTAATCCAGAAAGAGGAAAAAATAAATAAATAAAAGGCATTCAAACAGAAGGAGAAGTGGTTCAACTATCTCTGTTTGCAGACGACATGATTCTATACCTAAAAACCCCACAGTCTCTGACCAAAAGCTCTTAAATTTAACGAGAAACTTCAGCAAAGTTTCAGGATACAAAATTAATTTACAAAAATCAATAATATGTCTGTACACCAACAGCATCCAAGCTGAGAACCAAATCAAGAACGCAATTCCATTCACAATAGCCATTAAAAAAACAAAATACCTAGGAATACAGCTAACCAGGGAGGTGAAAGACCTCTACAATGAGAATTACAAAACACTGTTCAAAGAAACCAGAGATGACACAAACAAATGGAAAAACATTCCATGCTCATGGATAGTAAGAATCAATGTTGCTAAAATGGCTATACTTCCCAAAGCAACTTACAGATTCAGTGCTATCCCTATCAAACTACCAATGACATTTTTTACAAAATTAGAAAAATCTATTTTAAAATTCATATGAAACAAAAAAAAAGCCTAAATAGCCAAGCCAATCCTAAGCAAAAAGAACAAATCTGGAGGCATCACCCTACCTGACTTCAAACTACATTACAAGGCTACAGTTACCAAAACAGCATGGTACTAGTACAAAAACAGACATATAGACCAATGGAACAGAAGAGCGAGCCCAGAAATAAAGCCACACGCCTACAACCATCTGATCTTCAACAAAGCTGACAAAAACAAACAACGGGGGAAAAGAGTGCCTGTTCAATAAATGGTGCTGGCATAACTGGCTAGCCATATGCATAAGATTGAAACCAGGCCTCTTCCTTACACCGTATAAAAAAATCAAGTAAAACCTAAACCTATAAATCCCTCGGAAGATAACCTAGGAAAAGCCATTCTGGACATAATCCCTGTCAAGGATTTCATGATGAAGATGCCAAAAGCAATTGCAACAAAAACAAAAATTGACAAATAGAACCTAATTAAAGACCTTCTGCACAGCAAAAGAAACTATCAATAGGGTAAACACAGTCTAAAGAATGGGAAAAATATTCGCAAACTATGCATTCAACAAATGTCTAATATTCAGAATCTATAAGGAACTTAAACAAATTAACAAGCAAAGAACAAACAACCCCATTAAAAAGCAGGCAAAAGACACAGACGCTTTTCTAAAGAAGACATACACATGGCCAAAAAGCATATGAAAAAAATGTTCAACATTACTTAACATGTGAAAAATGCAAATCAAAAGCACAATAAGATACCATCTCACACCAGTCAGAAAGGCCATTACTAAAAAGTCAAAAAAAAACAGATACTAGCAAAGCTGCAGAGAAAAACACCTATACACTATTGGTAGGAATGTAAATTAGTTCAGCCATTGTGGAAAGCAGTGTGGCAATTTTTCAAAGAACTTTAAACAGAAGTATTATTCAAGCCAGCAATTCCACTCATGAGTACATACCCAAAGGAATATAAATCATTCTACCATAAAGACACATGCATGCAGGCCAGGTGCAGTGGCTCATGCCAGTAATCCCAGCACTTTGGGAGACCAAGGCAGGTATATGGCTTCAGCCCAGGAGTTCCAAGACCAGCCTGAGCAACATGGCAAAACGTTATCTTTACAAAAAATTTTTAAAACTTAGCCAGATGTGGTGATATGCACCTGTAGTCCCAGCTACTCAGGTGGCTGAGGTGGGAGGATCACTTGAGCCTAGGAAGTCAAGGCTGCAGTGAGCCATGATGACATTATTGCACTCCAGCCTGGGTGACAGAGTGAGACCCTGTCTCAAAAAAAAAAAAAAAAAAGACACATGGATGCATATGTTCATTGCAGCACTATTCAAAATAGCAAAATCATAAAGCTAGATAAAGAAAATGTGGGACACACACACCACGGAATACTATGTGGCCATAAAAAAGAATGAGATCATGTCCTTTGCAGCAACATAGATGCAAATGAAGGCCATAATCCTAAACAAAATAACACAGGAACCAAAACCCAAGTACTGCATGTTCTCATTTATAAGTGGGGAGCTAAACATTGAGTACACACGGACACAAAGAAAGGAACAACAGTCACTGGGGCCTACTTGAGGGCAGAGGGTGGCAGGAGGGAGAAGATTGAAAAACTACCTATTGGGTACTATTTGTATTACCAGGGTGATGAAATAATCTGTACACCAAAGCCCTGTGACATGCAGTTTATCTACAGAACAAACCTGCATGTATACTCTTGAACCTAAAAGTATTTATTTATTTAAAATAAGTAACTTAAAAAATAATAAACTTTTTTGTGGCCTTACCAAGAAAAAAAAACCAGGTTCCTGATTTTGTGAACTAGCTGATAGTGGTCACATTATCTAAACCAGAGATTATATAGATGCAGTAGGTTTGAGGAGAAAGATGATGAATTGTTTGGGACCTTTTGAAATTGGCAGATATCCCCCTAGGATATGCACAGATTGTGTTAGGGAGTTAAATATGCTTACGTGAAGTTCCAGAGAGAGACTTGGGATTGAAATAAATACGCCTGACTTACCCACATATCAAAAGTGGTGCAAACCCTGGGGGCTATGGAAATGGATAAGGTCATAAAGGGAAGCATAGTGCAAAAAGAGGACAGAAGAATTGTGAAGAATATTTAAAATAAAGGGGCAAGTAGAGGGCAAAGAAGCTTAAGAATTTCACACATTTTGATTTCATGATGCTAATACCAGGAAATAAGCCCTACATGATATTCAGAGGCATTATAAAAACTTTAAGCACAAAGACCTTTATATTTTTATCCTCTTGACGCTGGCATTCACAGTCCCTGTTTCGGTGAAACCAAACAGTATGTGAGTCTTGGCAGGGGAGAGATCACCACAAGACACTCCTCTCTACCCTCTAACATCAAGAAGACAAACAAATTACCTAGATTTGGCTAATCGGAAGCAAACACCCAGAACCTTGAGGGACAGAAGCAAAGATGCAGGGAAATGATTAATAGGGGATAGTGATGGTAGCAGCAACGAGCATCTCTTGGGGAGCAAATGTCTGGTGACTGTGGAGCCAGAGGCAGCAAGCTATGCTTATGGCTGCCCTGACATCTGCCTGATGTACAAACCTGGTTCCCCAAACTTCCCATTGAGTCTATGGACTACTCAAGACTCCCAATAAATTCATTTTGTGTTGTTTTAGCTGAAGTCCATATTTGTAGCTTTCAACCCAGAACACAGACTGATAAAAAATGTGTTGCCATGCTATTTATAATAAAACATCTAATAGGGGAAAAGTGGGTAGATTATAGCACATCAATACAAGGATTATGATACAGTCATATTTTTTTTTTTTTTTTTTTTTAGACAGAGTTTCACTCTTGTTACCCAGGCTGGAGTGCAATGGCGCGATCCCGGCTCACTGCAACCTAAGCCTCCTAGGTTCAGGCAATTCTCCTGCCTCAGCCTCCTGAGTAGCTGGGATTACAGGCACGCGCCACCATGCCCAGCTAATTTTTTGTAGTTTTAGTAGAGACGGGGTTTCACCGTGTTGACCAGGATGGTCTCGATCTCTCGACCTCGTGATCCACCCGCCTCGGCCTCCCAAAGTGCTGGGATTACAGGCGTGAGCCACCGCGCCTGGCCAAATGTTTTTAAATATACTTACAAATTGGTATATAAAAGTTATGCATAATTTTTTAAATATATTACCTAATTACTCACAAACACTGTAATTTTTCCTAAATAAAAGTGATGTCAACACCATACAATCTAAATGAGAAATAATAAAGAATCACGAAAAAGTAAAACTATGAAATCGATGATGAAATAGTGGCTAATTTTAAATTCCTGTCTGATTGGGATTATTTTCAAATGACACTGAAGTTAAAAGAGCATGCCAGATTAAATTCAACAGAAATGTAAAT